CATCCTGTCCTAATTTATAGCTTTTTGAAGGGTTTTACCTAACTTTTAACCTGTTTATTTCGTCCTGTTGTCTTCCTATCTTTTTTAGTCTGCCTGTCCTTTTCCCTTCTTGTATAGTGCCCTGTAGTATCACCTTTGCAAATCCCGTACCATCTCAGTTTGTGTTATGTATATCCACACAAAGAGCATCTAAGTCATAGGGTTTTAAAAATAAAGTAAGCGTTTTTACGCCCCCATCGGCACACTTTTGATCATTTTGGAGGCGGACTTCGGAAACAGCCTATCAGGGCCAAATTGGGCTGAGAGGGATACAATATTCTCGCAGAATGATTAAGACACTAGACAAAAGTTTTTACTCCACTCGAGAATCGAACTCAGGTTTCATCCTTGCGACACCGAAGTGCCTAACTGCTGATCACAGACGTCGGTGGTCATTATTAAGAGACATTTGAATGAAAACGAAAGTAGGTTACTGTCTTTCAATGAAAAAGCAAAAAAAGTTTATTCGTTAAGTCTTTACGTTTTCGAAGGTACGGAAAGCTTCATCAGATTTTAGATCCTCGTTTCCAAAAATTAATTCAGAATATGATGATGATGATGATGATGATGATGATGATGATGATGATGATGATGATGATGATGATGATGTGCCATATCTGTATATTATGTTACACGTGTGCTCTGTTACTCATTCTATTATGTGAATGTTGATTCCTATTTATAGTCTGGTGATTGTGCTCAGGGAAGGTGACAGTGCAGGTTAGGTAGGCTTTGATAAACTAAGATAAGATATGATAAAATAAGATGAGATGGGATGAGATGAAATGAGATGCGAAGAGATGAGAATAAAATAAGATAAGATAGTTAGTTAGTTTTAGTAAGGTTATACGGCGCTCCCCACTGCATACGGCCATATGAGCTCATAGGATAAGATAAGATAAGATAAGATAAGATTAGATTAGATGAGACAAATATCAATTGTACAGATATTTTTGTGTTTCATCGCACACACACACAAACAAACACACACACAGCACACAAACAAACAAACACACATGAACACACAAACAAACAAACACACACACACACAAGCACACAAACAAACAAACACACAAACACATACAAACACATATATACACACGTACACAAACACACACACACACACTCTCTCTGTCTCTCTGTCTCTCTGTACCTCTCTCTCTATTTCTCTCTCTCTCTCTATCCCTCTCCTCCCCTCTCTCTCCTACACACATCATCTTTTCCTCACACATCAGTACATATACAATTTAATAATATGCTTGCACTCAATAATAGTTTTTCACCTGGAATATCAAACAGTACTAGGATAGCAACCCGATGATATCTTGAAAATAAATGCTTTAGAGGTCCCATGAATACTTATATTACAAGATGATTACAATGGTAGGAGTTTAATGGAGGATAGGAAAATATAACCTCCTGTAGTGTCTTTCTGTGTTACTATTCAAAAGCATAGGTCTTTTACTTCGTATTTATATTTCGGTTTGAAAGAACAAAAGATGTTGTCCAAAAAGATTAAATTGGTTTTTCTAATGCAAGTGATATTGTACATTTCACCGAAATAAGAGAATGTAGATGCTGAATTTTTTGCAAGCTATGAAAATTAAATATAGTTTTCTTTTTTTACTTTACGATTTTCCTCGTGAATCCTGAATCCCAAAAGAGCTTCAGTCCTGGTTAACCTTGACCAGCAAGATTGAAGCGGCCTGCTTTCTGGAAATAATAATAATAATAGATAATAGATAGCATTTGTATAGCGCATATCCCCGCTCAGCAGCAGGCTCTATGCGCTTTACACTATATTATTACCCCAGCAGACCATAGAACACTCCGAAACATTCTCAGCTTCCCGGGAAGCATACAGTGCAAGCAGCCGATTAAGCGCTCAAACACTAACAAACTGACAAGATCTTTCGCTGTCTATAGCCGGGTACCCATTCCCACCTGGGTGAAGTGAGGAAAATTCGTGTAAAGTGCCTTTCCCAAGGACACAACGTCGGGCCCTTGACGGGATTCGAACCCACGACCTTACGGTTGCGAGTCCGAGAGCCTAACCACTAGGCCACCGACGTCACAAACACATCAAAATTGTGTTTCTTGGGGAATTTTTTTTTTATAGGGGAGGGGGTTGAGGGACGAAGAACACTTACAGTCTCATCCATACGTATGCTCTTCAGGTCTCATTTAGTGATGAAAAGAGAAATTAAAAACATCGTCTTTTAAATCAACTAGTTCCAATATCATTTTTTAATATTTCGTAAAATAAAGCAATATTCATATTCGAGAGGCGCTTTTACAAGATAATAAAGGAGGCAATGCGTTCGACTCTCTAAAGAATCTGCAATTTCAAATAGGAGAATTTCAATAGAATTTTCATCGCGAGTTGATCAATTATAACGTGAGCCCGGAACTTCCAATTAGCGATTTGTCTTCTCAGCCAGGCAATCATTTGGTGCTTTTATCAAGTGTTGGGCTGAAGAGTGCATACACCTCCCTCTAGGACTTAATCACTCCCCTGTGTGCACGCGCGCGCACAAATTCACACACACACACACACACACACACACACACACACACACACACACACACACACACACACACACACACACACACACACAAAGAAAAAAAAAACAACCTCCACTCACACAAAGGTTCACATTGTCATGTACCAGTACCTCAAAAAGGCGTACACACACTGACACACAAACACATAGACACAGACACACAAACATACACAATCACAAGTACACACTCAAACACACGCATAAACGCAAAAGTACACAATAATTATCGTTCAGTTATTTCTATTCTAAAAAGCAGAAAGCACTCTCACACACACACACACTCACATACACACACACACACACACACACACACACACACACACACACACACACACACACGTGCACACAAGAGTACACATTCACCAGTGTCCAATCAACGTGATAGGAAAGGATTTCTATTTTAACTCGCAATGTAGGTGCTTCAACCTAAATTATTGATTCCATTATTGCGAGAGCTAAATGCTCTCTTTCTTTCTTTCTTTCTTTCTTTCTTCTTTGTTTGTTTGTTTGTTTGTTTGTTTCTTTCTTTCTTTCTACGCGTTGATCTTCCAGTGCAGAATGTAGCCCCATACCGGCTACATCCACTCTGTTTTATCAGCTGTTTTCTGCTTTTTGACGTGGTCCTGTCATTTTCTTTCTGGTCATCATTCTCTCGATCCCATTCCTGCTCTTGATCTTCATTCAGCACCTTTTTATGTCCATCCGTTGTTCTTCATTCTGTCGGTGAGACCAGTCCATTTCCATTTTTGCTGTAGTGTAAATTTGGGGATATCTTTCACTCCAGTTCTCTTGCATATTTTTTTGTGTGATTTATTTGATCTTGTATTCTTATGCCTAGCATCTTCCTTCCCCTTACTCTTGGTGTTGTCCTTAATTTCTTTCTGATGTTTCTGGTTATTTGCCATGTTTGGCACCCATAGCTTGTTGAAAAGAAGAAGTCAATTCTATGCAGTCTTCTCTTGCGTGGCCATTAATTGACCCGCCACGATCCGATAATGCAGATCAGACCCATTTAAGTAATGCTCTATGGTTTTATACGATCTTATTTACCAAACTGTCTACTAGAATGAAGTCAAGGTTACGTAGGCATTTTCCTCTGGCTCAGCGGAGGAATACGTAATGGGCACCCTGGGTTTGTTTTCCTTGTGATCGGTTCCTTCTCTCACTCCCACCTCACCCCCCCCCCCTTTTCCTCACCCGCTTTGAACCTTTTTTCTGCTAACAGTTATGTCTGTAAGAGTGAGGGAGAAGTACAAACGAGATGTGGGGGTGCATGAAGGACAATGGGGCTGACAGGAAGGCGGGGGAGGGGCGAATGAGGGGTGATGGGAGTTAGATGTGAGGTAGCGTAGAAACCTTTATCGAGTACCTAGGGTTCTGTACCTTCACTAGTGTGCTCTCTCAGAATTTCAAAGTTGTATCTGCTCAATACCTAGTTTTGAGAAATGTGACGTAAAACATTTCGAGTTTCACTTATTGTCAAGCTTTTTCGAATACAATTCTTTGTATATCTTGATAACGATCCCGAATAATCTTACGATTTTGATAGGGCAGATAGAATATTTAATTTGGATTTTGACCTCATGGTCTTACCAACTCAAAATGGCTAAAAATGTAAGATAGAACTTTGTGATGCTGAGGTAACACACTGCTGAAGGCCCAGAACAAACATCTGAAGGGTTTTCAAGGAGCAGAGCTCCAGCCTGACGGGTGAGAGGTTGGGGAGGGGGGGGGGGGCTTGGTCGCTGTAAAATTCCTTCCTGTATGGTTTGGCCTTGACTTGCAGGATCGGAAGCCCGCCTCCAAAAGGATCTACATTATCGATGGGAGCATGAAATACCTATATTGTTAACAAAAAAAACCCCAGTTCGATTTAGAGGCCAAGAATTGTAATTGCTTCAGTTTAATGCTCTGATATAATTATAATAAAAGAAATTTATATAGCGCTCAACCCCGATTAAAGTACACAGGCTCTGAGCGCTTTATAAATACAATGCAATGTACAACATTTTAATAAAAAGATGTGTTCTGACCTAGGCGATCATAAATCAGGCAGCGCAGCCCAAGAACTACACACCTTGCTTGTGGGCTGACACACCGGCCGCTCAGGCTTCGGCCCACAGCAAGCAGTGACCTTCGTAATGATAATAATGATTACAACGGCCACGGCTAGGCGGTCTCTTTCTCCCTCCCCCCCTCTCTCTCTCTCCCTCTCTCTCTCTCTCTCTCTCTCTCTCCCTCTCAATCTCTCCCTCCCCTCTCTCTCTCCCTCTCTCTCTCTCCCTCTCAATCTCTCCCTCCCTCTCTCTCTCTCTCTCTCTCTCTCTCCCCCCTCTCTCTCTTTCTCTCTCTCTCTCTCTCTCTCTCTCTCTCTCTCTCTCTCTCTCTCTCTCTCTCTCAATGGTTTAGCTTCCCTGTGTTTGTGTTCAAACTAACGGACATGTAAAAAATTATTCTAGACAGACAAAAGCGATGGAAAGACAGAAAGTTGACTTGAGTTGAGTTAGAGTTTTACGGAAATGGAGGGCACACACTGATATGTTTTGACACCTTTTCATAGGATAAAATGTTTGGTAAGCTAGCAGTTCATGCCCGACATTCTGTTTCATCCGAAGGAAATCCATACAAGGTCACTTTTTCTGCACCTTTCTGACTGTCATAGCCAGTTTTGCATCCACCAACTGAGCATTTTCTTCCCATTGTTGTTCTTATTCCTTCAGTTTATTTTGAAGGTGTCAGTCACAGTCCAACAGAGTCATAACCACACATGATGAAAGCAATAAATAGGCCTAGAAGAGAAGCATGTAAGCACTGTGAAAGAACAGCAGATATTAATATACAAAGCAGGTTGGGAAAAACACAAAGGAGCTCCCCCATAATTATGATCCGTATACTTTTCCCTACCTAACAGGGGTGGGCCCCTAGACGCTCAGAGTCTAGATAAATATAGATTTATATCTACATGGTCCTTTTAGTCTACTGTTTGTGTTACAAACTAATCTAAATCTAAAAGCAGATCTAGGGATAGGATGGGGAGTTCGTTTTTAGTGGTTGTTTGCATAGAGAGGCTCTAAGTCAGTGAAGAGTGTGCGGATCAGGAGGGGGGGGGGCCTCCACTGTGTAGACATGGATTTTAGAATGGATTTAGACAGATATGAATTAAACATGCACGGTCAAAACTTCACTATAGGTTTAATCTAAGCACGTACACTGATGGAAGAGATATTTGATATTCACACAATCCAGATGATTTGAAAAAAAAACTGCATTAGGCCTCAGCTAAAAGAATCCAGGCATTCACTGAGTACGATGGCGATGAAGAATCTGAAAATGAACAGTAGGCCTACAGTGAAGCCAAACAGCACTTCAAATTTGCGATCAATGTTGGTCAATCTTAATTAATTAATTAATTAGTCACCACTTCTGTTCCTCAACACACACAATGATGTAGAAAATATTCACATAATCCAGATGACTTGAAAAGCAAACTGCATTAGGCAGAAATAATCCAGTGTCAAAGCATGAGAAAACAACAATTCAAACTGACCGCCGCACCCTGCGTAGGCTTATCACTACTAATGATCTACAAGGTTGTGGGCTTACTACACGGGTGTGTCAGCCCACAAGGAATCTAGGTCAGTAGCGCGCAGGTGGCCTGATTATATGACCGTCTAGGTTCTGACCAAAGAAAATCACTCCAAACATTCATCTTAATAATCTAAAAACAGAAATAACTTCAGCTGACATTTGAACGAATCAAAGAATTTGATCTCTCTTAAAGTACTTGACAAAGCATTCCAGATCTTGAGGCCTTGATATTCAAATGCTCTTCCACCCATTGTTTTAAGTATCATAGATGAAAAATGAATTTTTTTTTCAACCTTAAACTGCGAGTCGGAACGTACAGTCTAAACAGATTCGATAAATATGATGGCGCATTATCATTCAAGCATTTGTGACAAAGGGTGGCCAACTTGTACACAATTCTTTTCTCAACAGGAAGCCAATGCAATGTCTGCTAAAGCAGAGTCCCACTTTCTTTTTCGTTTTGGACAGCTTGAAGTCTTTTAACTTTCCCCAGTGATATTCCAGATAACAAGGAGTTACAATAATCGAGTCTTGCTAAAACTAAGCTAGTTACTAGTAAAGCAGTATATTATATTATAGTATTGATTAAATGACATATTATATTTTTTTTCTTATTTCTAAATACATGCAGCTGATTACATGATTAGATGATTTACCTCAGCCGACATTGACAAACTGGAATCAAAATAGATGCCAAAATTCTTAACTTTTCTTGAAAATGCAATTTCTGCATCACCAAATTGTCATGTGATCGTGGGCCTACTGATCCATTAACAGTACAGACCTTGCACTGCCTGCCAGAATGACTTCTGTTTTATCTCATTCAACATTAATTTGTTTTTGTTTATCCAGTTTTTCACTGAGGCAATACAATTTTCAGCACGACGGACAAGTTCATCAAAGTTGGTAAACATTTTTGGACCGTAAATCCGGGTATCATCCGCTTAAAGATGACACTTTAAGGCATACCTAACTATTTCCTTGACAAATGGTTGAGTATAAATGGAGAACTAAACTGGACCCAGAATTGAGCTCTGGGGACCCCATACAAAAGAGCATGATCTGACGACTTAAGCCCTTTAAAAAAACAGATTGGTATCGATTTGACAGGTAAGAACAAAACAAGCTAAGAGCATTCCCGGATATTCCAAAAGACACATCCAATCGCTTCAGTAAAATATGATGGTCAATTGTATCAAAAGCTGCTGATATATCTAACAGGTTCAGCAAAACAACTTTTCCTGAATCCCAGTCCGTAAGAATGTCATTCATGGCTTTAAGAAATGGGGTTTCTGAACAGTGGTTAGCTGTTTCTTTAGCAAAAGTTTTACAAAAGCAATCTTAAACACATCTGGTACTGATCTACACACTAGAGAATTATTTATGATTTTAGAAATAAATGGGATCAGTTCGTCAATGCAGGAAGACAACAAAGAACTAGGGACAGGGTCGAGCTCACAATGCTTGCTAAGGGATTTTAAAAATTACGGATTTAATATATTCTTCAGAAAAAGGTTTAAAGTTATAAAACATTCCGCCATCATAATCATCAAAATCACCATATGGTTCATAGTTATCAAGGTCATTTCTTTGTTTCTGGACTTTTTCTGTAAAATGAACAGCAAACACTTTGGGTAGTGCTAAATAACTAAAAGAATTCGGGAGACGTGTCTCTTTGACCCTTCCTAGTAGTCCATCACAAATGCCGAATAATTGTTTACACGAATTTGAGTTTTCAAATTTATAAACATAGTATTTCCTTTTAGCGCATTTAGTTACAAATTTCAGCTCTTGCTTCATTAATCTAAAGCTGTTCTTGTGGATGGTGAGCCCTGTTTTAAGCCATTCTCTCTCTGCCTTTCTGCATTTGATTTTGGTCGTTTTCACTTCAACCCCAAACCAAGGTACGTATGGTCTAGTCCACAGATGACGCGTTACAAGTAGTGCGTGCTTGTCAAGAACTGCCCTAACAATGGAATTATACGAATCAACACAGACTGTTTTAAGGTCACGTAAAGATTTCAACAAAATCCATTTAAAACTTATGAAAGTCAATTCCTTTGATGTTCCTTGTAGACACAGAATGTTTTTCGGGCTTAGTCTTAATCATACCCAGAACAAGCTGTTTAAAAGAGCGGGGACATGGAGCTCCCCCATCAAAGAGCAGGACAAACAAAACGCGAGTGGAAAGAAGAGTGAGCATCATAATCCAACGTGAAGCTCCTGCGGATTGGACAAAATTCGAAACAAATCTCAAGAATGCCGACTCTCTGAAGGAGGGAAAGAAAACTACGAAAGCCGTTAGTAAGTGGAGCTAAGAGAGAGAGAGAGAGAGAGAGAGAGAGAGAGAGGGAGAGAGAGAGAG